ACCACACATCATCTGATTCCAACCGAGGGTGCTCATCCAATCAAGGTTTCTATTTGTCGTTGGTCACCCAAAGAGATCAAGATTTTATGTGCAAACGTCAAGAAAATGTTGGAAAAGGGTGTCATTTGAAAGTCGCAAAGTACTTCGGCATATGAATTTCATCTTGTGATGAAGTATAATGGGAGTATTCATTTTTGCATCGACTGTCATCCATTAAATGAAGTAACAATCCCGAATGTGTACTCTCTTCCTCACACTGCTGATCTCTTGGATTATCTAGGGAGAAATCATTAGTTCACCAAGCTAGATCTTGCTTTTGGGTATTGGTAAGTACCAATGGCCAAAGAAAATATTTTTAACACTTCGTACAAAAGAACCAAGAACAACTAATACCATCTATAGATCTACCAATGTTTCCTTATGATGTTCCTCCAAATCCTAGCCCATTTACGAGGGAACTCTGATAGTCTTCTATTATTCCAAGAGGAGGGGATGATAATAGCTCCAAGTGTACAGTTATTATGGATTTTGGTAGAGGGATATTAACATAGAGGGATTTTGGTAGCCGTCGGATTGGGTTCAATCTAAACTATATGCTTTTGTATATAAGGTACGGTTTTTGGGTTAATTGATATGCATATTTTTTATATTCCTTTTCTATATTCCATGCACTCACATTATGAGTTTTGAAATAAGCTTAAGCTTTTTTAAAATTATATATATTTTGATATAAATTTGTGGAAGAACTTTTAAGGGTTATTTGAGTCAAATATATAATCTAGTGTTTTTATTTAAAGCCTTTTGCTTTGTGTTGAGTTAAATATGTCAAACTAGATCAAGTTAGGCATGTTATGGTCAAAATTTTATAGGGTTTATGCATACACTTACTCTAATAACTTTTAGCAATGCTCAATATTAGCTACTGCAACACTATAAAATATCACTTCACCCATTTATAGCTGGATATTCTCTAGCTCTATTTCTCATAAAGGATAATCTTGCTCTAATGGAAGTTGATGTTTTTACTACTATTATTCAAGGACTATAATTAGGATATAGTTGTGCTTGTGGAGTTCACTATTGGGTGCAAGACAAGCTTGGCCACACATATCATCAATGTTTATGTGTTCAAGGATAAGGATGAAGATGTGGGTATGGTTGTTGTGTTCACTATTGAGTGTAAAATGAGTTTAACCACACATGTCATCAATGTTTCTTGAATTGACATTCATCATTTCCTAGGTGGAACAACATCCTATTAATGTTGTTGTTATGAAATGACTTGACAAAAAAGTTCTTTAGAGAAATATGAAATTAAATGAGCAATGGAAAGTCTTTGTGCAAATAAGTCAATAACCCACCATCAAAGGGTATATGTGGTACTAGTTCACCCATTTATCTTTTATTGTTTAGCATATTACTATATGTTATTGTTTGCATTTACATCATGCAGTAAAACTAATTTTTATTCTCTATAGTAAAAACTGTATATATGCATATGCATGGAACAAATAAACATAATTATGCATATGGGTGATTACAAGTTTGAGCTTCAATCATTGTAAGTGGTTCTTAATCAAGTTTTTGATTTTATTGGTGTTTAATCAAGCTTCAATACAAATGCACTTATAACAAATATAATTGCGAATATTAAAAGTTACTTGTTAGCAAATCCTTTTAAATATTCTTCTTTTATTACCATGATAGTAAGAAGTTGGTATTATTGGCTCCCTTTATCAACCCCTCTTATTCAAATGTTAACAAACTAGGCTTAACATTTGTACTTAGCCAAATAAATATAAAATAGGAACTCCTATGTGTTTTTTGGCTTGGCCTAGCTTTTAATTCTTTTTTGCTATGTCTTGTACTAGCTTGATAAGAACCATTATATATTAAATATTATTCCCTAAATATCACTATATGATAACTTATTATATCCAATAACCACCCTCACTAACATACTCTATACTTCTTCAGTTTTATTAGCTATTTATGGATAGTATCTAGATATGCTAGTGAGGTATATTTGCAAAATGTAAAAATTATCCTGAACACAATATTGTTATTCTTGTGTCTAAATTCGCAATCTAATGTCATTACATATTTAATAAGTTTTTGTGATTGTTCGTCCCGTGTCCAAATTTGCAATCTAGGGACATTCCATATTTAGTAAGTTTCAAGTTTATCCCAAAGATTAACTCCTAATGCTAAGGGTGGCTAAGGGTGAAAGCCCAAAGCATGTGTTCCTTAAAGAGGGGTTGCAAATGTATAGTAGGGATAGTAAGTAGGTTTGATATGGCTAACCAACCTAAGATGTAATTTAGCTTCTGTTTGCATGCCTGTCTTTGTTTTGCGTCTGGCTTGAGTTTAAGCCCAAGTTTCATACCATGCTAGTGTAAGCAACCAAAGGGAACGACTCGAGAGACGATCCGTTGGGGTTCAAATATAGAGGGAAAGGGCCCATGAACAAGAGTGCACCCCCTTTTCCAATCGGTTAAGGGTCTTGGGATATTTGGAGTTAAGCGTCCTTGGGTTTGAATAGTACTGGGCTGGGTGACCTCCCGGGAAGTCCAAACTCAGGAGCTTACAGCTAGTTGATGGAGTACCCGTATCCTTGTGTTAGGCCATTGATATGCTGAAATAGTGTCAAACTCCATTTAACTCCATTTTACATACTGGTCTTGACATTGGGATGCTAGATGCTCTAGGATTGTTTTACGTCACTTTGTGTTCCTATCTCTTCACTCCTTGGGCTGTATGCTTGGGAGTTATTCTGTGCTTCAATGCCATCATTCCTTGGCTTCATGCTTAGGAGTTTAGCTCCGCTCCCTCATTCATTGGCTTAAGGCTTTGAAACTTGGGTTCTATTCTGCTATCCTTTGGATACGTTGCATGTGGCATGTGGCATATGACATATAGCACATAGAGGGTTTAAGTTCCACTTCTATAGTAAATCACCATAAGATAAGGTAGAAACCATGTGCATTACAACTGCCCTTAGCCCACGTGTCCAAGGGTTATATGTCACTTCAATTATCCTATAGTAAATCAGTATAGAATAAAGGGTGAAAACCATATGCACATCTTTATACAACTTAAATTCTTGGTATCATCTATTGTCAAATCCTTTAAATCCATCAAATATATAGTTACTAACTCAATCACACCTTTCTTTCCATCTAGCAAAAATATGAACTAGCTTTGATCACAGAGTGCAATTCATAAATTCTGTAAAAATCATATCCAATTTTCATCATTCTCCACACCAACTTTGGTTGTTTGTTGACAACCACCAAAGTTGATGCTAAAGGAGCATTATATCCTTTAATATTTTGGTTAATACCCTTTGGGATACATTCCATCCAACATAACCAAAAGTCTATAATACTAAAAACTATATAGAGATATCCTTTTGTAAGGAAGTGTAATTGCCAAAATTACTTATGATGAGTTTTTGGTAGTAAGCTGTAAGTGTAGTATATGATCACTATGAATCTTTCAAGTAAGTTTTCTTTCCCTTGCCATATTATGCTTTTAGTTTTAATACTAAACTCTTTTATTAAATTTTGTTGAATTCTATTGATAATTCAAGTGGAAGAAGCATCTTTATTCTCTAAATGCATGGCTTTACTATATTTATGATTTTTCATGAATATTTTGATAGAGCAAGTTGGCTCTTTCTCCAATATTAAAGTATAAAGCCTATATAAACAATTTTTATTTTTATAACATCTTTTATTATCCATTGCAATTACAAAGAGGTCAAAGAATTTATCAATAGTCTTTTTCTTCACTACCTTTCAAATTTCTTTCATTGGGTCAAAATAGTGTAATTGTTATCACCCATAAAACCCCAAATCTGCCCTAATCCAAAAATATTTGAGAGCATTCTATTTGAAAGTTGCTAGGAGCTTTTTTATAAACAACTAAAACTTCATAAGGGGTCTTTTTGGTTTGCTTCTGTAGGGGAATATACCTAGAATAATTTTGGATATTCTAGGATATTATACCCATTATTCTTTTAGATTAATCTTGTATTTATAATTTATAAAGATATTTATAATTTAAAAACTTTCTTAAATACTTACTAGTATATTCTAATTTATTCTAACATCTAATGGTTGAAATTCAATAAGATTAATCTTGTGTTTATAAATTATAAACATGTTTATAATTATAAACTTACATTTGATCAATTGTAGTCTTATAGCTAACTACTGCAAAAAAATCATCATAGAGTTCAATGCTGCAAAAACCTGGTGGTAGATTTGTACAGTGATGCCAGTTTCAGATTAAAAACCTTTATATGTGAATGTAGAACAAATGCTACATTGATCCAAGGCTCTACTTTCCAATTGTCGGCAGGCATGAGACACTCTGTTCGCTGGTGTATGGTGCTGTTTTGGTCTAATGAATCTGTCCCTTATATGATCTTGACTGGAATTTTTCCAACTAGAATCCATCATTCATCCAGCAATGGCTGAATCTTTTCTATGGATTCCAACAACTGGTAATCTTTCACATGAAATGCTACCTTCTATGCATCAAGAACCATCTTCCATGTTTAACTCCTTGGCAAAGACATCAACTTCAGCAGCACAGATAATCTCATCTTTAAACTTATGATGTATGGGTTTCAGCCTCTCAAAAGCTTCACAGTGAGCATGGTCAAGGCTGATCCAGTCTTGTCCAGGCAAGGTCTTGGAGGCCGCAATTCTTGCTTAAATTCAATCGTATTCTTGAGTTCCCTGTCCTTGTGAACCACCATGTAAATTATGGCATGCCAGATTGGTCCCCTCTCATCGTCATCAAGGACGAAATTGGGGTCCCATTAGGCCCTCTCTATGAACTCTTCATTATTAATCCTAGCTAAGAGATGAAGACGACAGACATTTTAGGGCCTGTCAAAGTTGGTGGAAGGTCTGTGCGATGGAATGGTTTTCCTACGAGAAAGTCTATAGGCAGCTTCCTGTATTTTAATTTTTTTTTCTTCAAACAGGTAACTTTGACGCCGCTGGGATTAAAAATTCAGTTGGTCGCCTGGGGTCAACATTTGTGATCGTGTGATGAGCAGTGTTGGGTCAACTGTCGTGCTCAAGAATAACTACAGTAAAAAAAACGAACGACTAGGACTATGGATTACGCGGCACTACATTTCTTCCTTCGTGGACGACATAGAAGTTTCGATGGGCTAAAGAGTGAGAGAGCAGTAAAGTTTGGCGTGCGCCCAAATTTCTTCCGAGAAGGCTGCGGAGAAAATGTACTCCATCTTCGGAGCTAGAAAAAGATCACGCGATCATGAGGCAAGCCCTACAAGGAATTCGTCGCCGCTGTTCCAGAGAGATTGACGATTCCAGCCAACCAGCAGTAGCACGACTCCTCCTATAGCATCGTCATCACGGATGATCGCAGCGAATCGTTGTGGGTCTGATTCTCTTTCGAAGCATCGATCCATCGTTTCGACCAATTGGGATCGGTGCTCTTGGATCGTTTCAATCGATTGCTTAGTGCCGTGTCGACGGGCACACTTAACAGCCGACAAGAACAGAGCAGTCAGTGCTCTTCCTCTTTCGGGTATTGGTGCGAGAAGTTCCAATCCATCGTCATCAATGGAAAACAGATCTCACCTCCACACCCACCAATTCCAATCGCCCATCAAGCACCAATTCCACCAGTCGATGACCACCATCGCCACGTTCGCGCTACTGCTGCTGATAGGAGGAGCAATTCTCTCGCCCGCGGAGGGATTCTCCGATTTCCACAACGCAACGTCGCCATTCCTTCCCAGCCCGGGCCCGGAGCCACCACGATTCGACTCCAATTGGCAGGGATTCGGCTCCCCCTGGGACGATTTCCGGTCGCTGCTCGACGCGCACAAGGGGCAGATCAAGAGGTGCGAGAAGCTGCCACAGCTCAAGCGCTACCTCCAGGAATTCGGCTACACGAGCTGGGAGGAATTCACGCCCGACTTTGACAACCAGACCGAGGCCGCGATCAAGCTCTATCAATCCAACTTCGGCCTCAACGCCACCGGGACCCTGGATGAGCGCACCATCACGCAGATGATGAAGCCGCGCTGTGGCGCCGCCGACGTCGTGGATGGCATCTCCGCCATGGCCAGGAGGAGATCCAATTCGTCGAGCAGCCGCTTCCTGGACGGAGCCCGAGGTACAGTCCGAGGAGGCCGAGGTCCCGGGCTCGGTGTCCGCCACTACTCGTTCTTCCCAAACAGCCCAAAGTGGGAGTCGCGGCAGCTCCTCACGTACGCGATCGATGCCTCCGCGCCCGCCGTGACGGGCATCGCCGCCGCGGATCTAAGCGCGCTCTTCGCGGACGCGTTCGCCAGCTGGGCCGCCGTGGTGCCCATCAACTTCACCGAGATCCCCAGCTTCGCGCTGGCGGACATCCGGATCATCTTTGCGCACGGCGAGCACGGCGATGGCCGGCCATTTGACGGGATCCTGGGCGTCCTTGGGCACGGCTTCTCGCCCGAGGATGGGAGGCTCCACTTCGACGCCGCCGAGACGTGGGCGCTGGACGTGTCGAGCTCCTCGTCCAGAAGCGCGGTGGATCTCAAATCCGTGGCGATACACGAGATCGGCCACATCCTCGGTCTCGGCCACTCGGCCCTGGAGAGCGCAGTGATGTATCCCAACATCGGTGCTAGGGAGGTGAAGCTCGAGCTCCACAGCGACGACATCGAGGGCGCCCAGATGCTCTATGGCGCAAACCCTAACTACGATCCCAATGCCAGGACCGAGACGAGGAGCCAGCCAGAGAATGGGATCCCTTCCAGCGCGGCATTCCCATCACAGCATCGCTCCATCCTCTTCACCATCGCGATCGCTTTGTTCGTCTTCCTGGGTTAGGACTTTTTGTGTTACCCGCCATTCATCATTTTTTGGGTGTAAATATATAAGCATATTCTTTCGACTATCGAGCACATTCTAGTTTAGGGTTCATGGAAACTACTGAGATCTCGGCCGTTGGTTGCCTGGACGACATCCGTGAAGCCTAGGGTTCTTCGATTTGGAAGAAGGGTTTTGGGCGGGCTTTGGCGGCTCGGGTGTGCGCAGTCGCGGGCAGGGGACGAGATGAGGCCGCCAATGCGTGGAAGAGGAGGTAAGATCGATCACTAGAGCGCTGGTGCGTCGAGAATCCTCGCGCATTGATTGATTCGTCTTGCCAGGGGGCGGGCGCGGCGGGCGCGACGGTGGCGGCAGGGGCCGCGGGCGAGGACGTGGTGGGGGCCGTGATGGCGGAGGCCGAAGCGGAGGCCGAGGCTTCGGGAGAGGAGGTGGACGGGGCGGGCGTGGCGGTGGCATGAAGGGGGGTGCCAAGGTGTCTTTGGAACCACACCGTCACGAGGGCATCTTTATTGCGAAAGCGAAAGACGATGCTTTGGTTACCAGAAACCTTGTACCCGGTGAAAGCGTCTACGGCGAGAAAAGGATCACTGTTGAGGTGGAGTGCTCACTCACTGCAGCATCCTTTATTTTTCTCTCTTGACAAGGAACTGACTCCTCAACTAACTGGTGCTCGGATGTGAAAACAGGCCGATGGAGAGAAAGTGGAGTATCGGGTTTGGAATCCCTTTCGGTCCAAACTTGCGGCTGCGGTTCTTGGTGGCGTCGATAACATCTGGATTGTAAGTTTGTACGCTTCTGGAAGTTGCTGGATGTTTCTGCTAAATTTTTTCCTGTCTGAAGAAACCTGGCTCTCGCGTTTTGTATCTTGGAGCCGCTTCAGGGACCACTGTTTCTCATGTCTCTGATGTGATCGGCCCTGTAAGTTCGAGTGATATGATGGCGATCGTTTTGTTTTTCTAACAGGGAGTGGTTTCTTGGCAGACTGGAATCGTCTACGCTGTGGAGTTTTCTCACAGGTGTGGACGTGATCTCGTGAACATGGCAAAGAAGCGGACAAACGTTATTCCCATCATCGAGGACGCTCGCCATCCTGCTCGTTACAGGATGCTTGTGGGTATGGTGGATGTTATCTTTGCCGACGTTGCGCAGCCTGACCAGGCGCGTATCATAGCACTTAACGCTCACTCCTTTCTGAAAGCTGATGGCAAGTTCGTCATGTCTATCAAGGTGAGACGAGAGATTTGATTTGATTCACGGGCCTGATGAGATTTTGTGTCTTTGCTACTAGGCAAACTGTATCGATTCCACTGCTCCCCCAGAGGCAGTGTTCGCCCAGGAGGTGGCGAAGCTCCAGCAGGAGAAGTTCAAGCCTTATGAGCAAGTGACTTTGGAACCATTCGAGAGGGATCACGCGTGCGTTGTGGGAGCGTACCGGGCGTCCAAAAAGCCCAAGGCGCCGTCCGCGGCCTAAGGTTGGCAATGCTTTTTTATGGAAGGTATGGCTTTTAAAAACGGGGGTCCAATTCAGTTTTGTTGAGCAAGTCCATGGATTTCAGAGCACGTCGAGTCCTGCTTGGATCTTTATTCTGTAAAAATTGGTTTAGCTCAGCAATTTTGGTTGGGCATATGCGGTCGGCATTGCACTGAAGGATTCGAAGGGGCATATCGTTTCAAACACCTTCCTTGATGCACCAAGTTCTTGTCTGGCATTAAGATTCCCTTCCATGGAATGTGATGTTAGGTTTTGTCGAGGATTTCGTCCTGGGAATATCCCGTGGCTATGCATACGGCATCTTCGTATGGAAGAGAATCAAGGAGGCATGTAGCAGTGTTGTTACGGAGACAAGATCGTGCTGTGGCATCTGATCGAGGAAGAAGAGCTCCGACTCTTTCAGGAGACCGCAGTGGACGTAGGCAAAGAGGATTGCCGTGCAAGTCGAGATCCCTTTCACAGGCATGGCAGGGAAGAGCTCCAGATGCCCATGACGGGAGAATGCTGCAATGGCGCAAGTGCACATCGTGCTCCGGCATATCGTTAAAAGTGATTTGTACATCCGCGAACTGCAATAACGCCCCCAGCATCAGACCAAGTTGTGAGAAATACTACCTTGGTAGAATCAACATGCCCATTTTCGGTAAATGCAAACAGCACCGTATTTATAGTTCTCTGGCATCAAGTCTGTAACAAATTGTATATCTTGAGGCTGCAAAAATTATAGAAGTACATGACACAAGGCTCCAGTACAGCATGCAGCTCAAGAGCCTTTGCGCTTCATCAAAATGCCAGGCAACTAACAAAAGATCCCAGGTGAAGTTGTCCCTTTTGGCCATACCATGGTAGATTTCAGCTGCGTGTTTGATGTTACCACATCTATGTGCATTTCAATTTGCTTGTTCTTAAGCATTATTTTTTTTAAATTGTGTTTTTAATGTAAATCAAAAAACATTTAATAAGTTATAGAAATTTTTTCAATAAAGTAATATATTATTATCACTTATATAAATATAACTAGCTAAATAATAGATTGATAATGATTGTGAACTATAACATAATATAAACCTCATAAGTCTGCATAATTTCATATAACATTATTTTGAATAAAAGAATTAAAATTTAAATAATAAAAAAATTACTTATAATTATATTTTTTAATATAGTGATTATAATTACAGTTTCCTTTAAAGCTTGAAAGATTTAATATTTTAAATCATCATTAATATGACAATAATTAATTTTATTAGGCTTTTTACTTTTCTATTAATTACTCAATACAAAGAGAAATCTAGTGGAAAGAATATAACAAAAATCTCATAATAAAAAATTTAAGAGGTTTAATTTTTCATTTAATATATTATAATTGTGAGTGCATGAAATATAGAAAGGGAATACATAAAATGTGCATATCAATTAGCCTAAAAACTTTAGTTTATATATAGGAGCGAGTGGTCCGGATTGAAATCAATCCAACGGCTACTAAAATCCCACTACACTAATATTAATATACGGCATCATAACCATACATTTGGCCCTCACATCATCCCCTCCTCTTAGAATAATGGAAGACCATCAGAGTTCTTTTGTAGACAGGCCAGGATTTGAAGGAATGTCAGAAGGAGGCATTGGCAGATCTATAGGTGGTATTAACTGCTCCTGATCCCTTTGTATGAAATGTTTCAACCACTACACATGCACAATTTCTAGAGGATCAACCTGCTAGATGTTATTGTAAGCCACAAATTTTTCCTTTCCAATTTTCTAGCTTACCTCGTCTATCCGTTCAACATTGCCTTGGCTTTTGCTAAGTTCCCTCACCAAGGTTCCCACCTATGGTACCAGCTCCTACTTGGTCCTACTTGGTTTCGCTACTCACTGCACGAGCAACGGAGTGTTAGCCATCCATCCACGGATTCCCAAATCTCTCTCAATCCCCCTCCCCAGGTTAGACTAGACTTAAGGTTCGGCTACACTCCCCACAAGCACAAGTAGCCAAGCACACCAAGCTTCCAAATTCCTCACATCCCTTGGTACCAAAAGACTTGATCATGGGACCCTCTAAATCCCAAGTCTTGGATGCAACACTTGCTTCAGGATGTCGAGGCGAAACACCGTGGCCTAACAGCCTGGTATGGGTACCTCTACCCCCCCACTTCCATCCCGAAGGGAAGGTCCAAGCCCCTAGGAAGAGCGAGGACCAATGAGCCGCATGGTACTCAAGTGGGGCACCACTCCACATGAGCCGGGAGCACCACAGTCGGTTTCCCTTTCGGGAGTGGGAGCTGCTCTTGAGCACTTCCTTGGATGGCCCTTCGGCACCAACCAAGTCCATGCTTACTCCCACCCAAGGCCCCCCAGTCCCAATCCCAACCTCAAGTCAGTTTGGAAGCCCCATTGGAGAGTTCCTTCAAAACTAGTTTCTAGACCTCACTATCCCTACTATACTTTTGGAACCCCCTGCACCCCTCCCCCCCCCCCCCCCTGGGAAAAGCACGCTTTGGGCTTTCACCCCTTGACCCGTATTAGTACTCGGACTTAGTCTCTAGCTCGATCTCGGACTCGATCTCGGATCCAACTTCGGATTCGATCTCGGACTCGATCTTGGACTCGACCTCGGACCCGATCTCAGACCTGACCCCGGACTCGACCCCGGACTCAGTCTCGGACCCGATTTCGGATCTCGGACTCCGTCTCAAACTCGGTCTTGAACTCGGTCTTGAACTTGGTCTCCGAGTTGGCCTCGGACTCGATTCCAGACTCTATCTCGAACTCGGTTTGAGAGTTGGTCTTGGACTCGATTTCATGCCAAGAGCCCATGACAACGGAATATAGGTGTCCCTATACTCCTCAACTCACCACGCCTTAGTATGGGGTCGGGACTTGAACCCAGCCTTGCTTTATTAGGGGCTTGGGACTTGAACCCAACCTCCGTAGAATACATCTACGGATTCGACATCCCCGCAAGGAGTCGGGTGTAGTTCCCTATGTCTGGTCGACCTAGCTAACCCATGCTAATTAGCTTACCTTCAGCGCACTTTCGGGTCCCAACATATGCTATTGCTCAACTTCTCAAATTGATACTTTTAATTGAACTTTGCATAAGTACATAGAGTTTTACCTTGCAGAAATTCCTCCACTAGATCTCGTGCGTTCGCTAGGTTCTCCTTCGGTTCCCATGTTGCTTCGCAGTGTGGAAATCCATTCCACTTCACATGGAACTCTCTCACATCGCGTCCTTGTCGCTTGCTTTTGCGCGCACTGATGATGGCCTCGACTTTGTATTCCTCTTCCCCTTGGATAATCTCAGGTAAAGGTCTTACTTGGTCCTTGCGAAGTGGATCCTCAAAATACGGCTTGAGTAAGTTCATGTGGAACACGGGGTGCATCTTCCCCATCTCTCGAGGAAGTCGGAGATGGTAAGCCACTTTACCGATTCGAGCCTCAATCTCGTAAGGCCCCGCGAACCTGCTTAAGGAACTCAAGATCAATTCATTTACAGGAATACATGCATTTTTACCTTTGGGTCAACTTCCGGCTGATCCCACTTGGTAGCCTGAGGTTCTTGGTGTTCAGCCACACCTTCTCCCCAGCTTGGAACTCTACATCCCAGCGCTTCTGGTTCGCGTACTTAGTTTGCCTTTGTTAAGCTTGTTCTAAGGAATCCCTCACTAAATTCCAAATGTTGAGTCTTTCCACCGTGAATGCCTCCACTGCGGGTAACTCTCCATGATACTCGGCCACGCCGAGTTCCACAGGACCTTCAATAGCTCGCCCATTGATGACTTCCCATGGACTCACCCCGATGCTCGAATGTGGTGAGTTGTTATAACACATTTCCACAAGTCCCAAATGACTTACCCAATCAGTCTGGTTTCCCGAGACATAGCATCGCAAATAATCCTCCAACTACCTATTCACCCTTTTCATTTGTCCGTCCGTCAAGAAGTGTTAGTGCTATCAATCTTGACTTAATACCCATTACCTGTCTGCAGGTGATAGGCTGTGCTGAATTTCAACTTGGTGTGATACTGTTCTAGAAGTGTCCTCCAGAACCTACTGGTGAAGATCTTATCTCGATCTGAGATAATCTCTTCCGGCCTTCCCCGCACTCGAACCACTTGTTTGAAGAACAGCTTCGCCACACCTTCCGCATCCACTTCCGTTGTGGTGGGTATGAAATGTGCCATCTTTGAAAATCGATCCACCACCATGAATATCACATCGAACCCTTCGCTTGGGGGAAGTCCCGTGATGAAGTCCATCATAAGACTTTTCCACAGACGATTTGGAATTAGGATGCTTTGTAACAAGCCCCCACTAACCTTAGTCACGACTTTGACCTACTGACATGTTGGACATGTCTTTACATAGTCTTGGATATCCTTAGCCATATCTAGCCAGTGGTACTTCCTCTTGAGTAAGCCCATTGTCTTGGGCACTCTGCCGTGTCCCGCAAAAGGTCTGTCATGACACTTTTCTAAGGCTACCTTCCTTAGTTCCCTTTTTGGAACATACACACTCGTTTGCTTGTAATATATGAGTCCGTTGTGTTCCGCATAGCCCATTTTTTCTTCCATTGGCAGCTCACCTCTCTGGTGAGCTTCCCGTGCCTCCAGATTCCTCAGCAACACTTCTTGTGCTAGACCATCATTTTCATATGCGGTCCGCACATCATCCCAAAAGGTTGTTGTCGCGCTAGATATTGCCAACTTCAAGCTCGCTTTTCGACTTAGCACATCTGCCACGATGTTGCTCTTCCCAGGCTTGTACAGAATCTCACAATCAAACTCGGCCAAAGCATTGGCCCACCGACCTTATTTTCCCCTCAGGTCGGGCTATGACAAGAAGTGTTTCATTGCCACATTGTCCGTGTAAACCTTGAAGTGTCTCCCAAGGTAGTGTTGCCACTCCTTGAGCACTTTGACCACCGCAAACAATTCCTTCTCATGGGCAGGCCACTTCTGTTGAGCCTTGTCCAACTTCTTCGAGAAGAACGCTATTGAATGGTTGTCTTGCTTCAAAACTGCGCCCAACGCAAAGTCTAAAGCATCTGTTTCTACCTCAAAGTCCTTACCAAAGTCTGGTAACGCCAACACGGGAGCCTTCCTCAACTTCCCCTTAAGGTGGACAAATGTCGCCTCGCATTCCACTGTCCATACCATCTTCTTTTTTCTCGTTTGGTCCGTTAAGGGTAGGGCTACTCTCGAATAGTGTTTGATAAACTTTCGATAGTAGTTGCATAACCCCAAGAATGCCCTTAACTCGTGTACATTTGATGGTCGCTCCCAATCCTGGATCGCTTGGACCTTCTCAGGGTCCACCTTGAGCCTGTCCTTGCCCACCACATGCCCGAGAAACTTTACCTTTTGTTGAGCGAAGTCACATTTGCTCTCTTTAGCATACAACTGGTGTTCCCTTAGTTTCTCAAACACCTTCGTCAAGTGTTTGGCATGCTCCTCTAGTGTTTCGCTATAGATTAGGATGTCGTTAATATAGACGACCACAAAGTGATTCAGATAGGGTACAAAGATATGGTTCATCATCGCCGAAAACGTT